AGGAGAGAGAGAGAGAGATAGAGAGAGAGAAGAGAGAGAGAGGAGGAGAGAGAGAGAAAGAGAAAGTAGAAGAGAAGAGAAGAGACGAGAGAGAGAGAGAGAGACGAGGAGAGAGAGAGATCGAGGAGAGACTGACGAGAGAGAGAGAGAGAGAGAGAGAGATGAGAGAGAGAGAGAGAGAGAGAGCAGAGAGAGAGGAGAGAGAGAGAAGAGAGAGAGAGATGAGGAGACAGAGAGAGACGAGAGAAGAGAAGAAGAGAGGAGAGAGAGAGATGAGAGAGAGAGAGAGATGAGAGACAGAGAGAGAGAGAGAGAGAGGAGAGAGCAGGACAGAGGAGAAGAGAGAGAGAGAAGAGAGAGAGAGAGAGAGAGAGAGAGAGGAGAGAGAGAGAGAGAGAGAGAGAGAGAGAGCGAGAGGAGAGGGAGGAGGGAGCGAAAAGAGAAGAGAAAGAGAAAGAGAGAGAGAGAGAGCGACGCGACGAGAGATGAGATGAGACGGAAGAGAGAGACGAGGAGAGAGAGAGAACGAGACGAGAGAAGAGAGAGATCGAGACAGACAGAGGACAGAGAGAGAGAGAGAGGAGAGAGGGAGAGAGGGTAGAGGGAGAGAGAGTGGATGATGAGAGAGGAGAGAGAGAGAGGAGAGAGGAGAGAGAGAGGAGAGAGAGAGAGAGAGAGAGAGACAGAGAGAGACAAACACAGAGAGGAGAGAAGAGAGAGAGAGAGAAGAGGGAGAGAGAGAGAGAGAAGAGATGAGAGAGGCGAGAGCGAGAGAGTGGCGGACCGAGGAGAAGAGAGAGAGAGAGAGAGAGAAGAGGGAGGGGAGGGAGGAAAAGAGAAAAGAGAAAGAGAAAGAGAAATGATGACGAGGAGAGAGGAGACGGATCAAGAGAGAGAGAGGATGAGAGACGAGAGAGAGAGAGAAAGAGAGACAGGAGAGAGAGACGAGAGAGAGAGATAGAGATAGAGAGCGAGGATGATCGAAGTAGGGAGAGCGAAGAGAGGAGAGAGAGAAGGAGAGGGAGGGAGGACGGAAGGAGGGAAAGAAGAGAGTAAGAGAGAGAGAGATGAGAGAGAGATGAGAGGTGGAGCGAGGAAGAGAGGAGAGAGAGAGAGAGAGAAGAGAAGAAGAGAGAGAGAGAAGGAGAGAGAGAGAGGTGAGGGAGGGTTGGAGAGAGAGAGGAGAGAGAGAGAGAGAGAGAGAGAGAGAAGACGAGGAGAGAGCAGGGGAGGGAGCGAGAGAGAGACGAGAGAGAGGGATTGAGAAGAGAAAGACGAACGAGAGAGAAGAGAGAATGCGGGAGAGAGCGACGAGCGAGAGAGAGCGAGAGGAGAAAGAGGGAATGGAGGGAGGAAAGAGAGAGAGAGAGAGAGAGAGAGAGAAGAGAGTGATGAGACGAGAGAGAGAGAGAGAGGAGAGAAGAGATGAGAATGAGCGAGAGAGAGGAGATGAGAGGAGAGAGAGAGAGAGGAAAGAGAAAGGAGAGGGAGAGGGAGGGAGGGAGGAAAAGAGAAAGAGAAAGAGAAAGCGAAAGAGAGAGAGAGAGAGAGAGAGAGAAGACGGGATGAGAGAGAGAGAGAGAGGAGAGAGAGAGAGAGGAGAGAGAGAGAGAGAGAGAGAAAGAGGAGAGGGAGGGAGGAGAAAAGAGAAAGAGAAGAGAAGAGAAAGAGAGAGAGAGAGAGACAGAGAAGATGAGAGAGAGAGAGGAGAATTTGCGATTTGACGAGAAGAGAGGAGAGAGATAGAGAGAGAGAGAGAGAGACGAGACAGAGAGAGAGAAGGAGGAGAGAGAAACATCGGGCCGAGAGGGGTAGGGCGGGAGGAAAAAACGAGAAAGAGAAAGAGAAGAGAGAGACGAGTAGGACGAGACTGAGGAGAGACTGTTGAGAGATCGAGAGAGAGATGCGGGAGAGAGAAAGAGAGAGAGAGAGAGACGTCGCAAACTATTTTCTGGAATTTTCACCACTTGTGCAACTAACAAAATAAACTTTCTCTCTGTATATTAACTATCACTATTATCTGTTGTGCTCACATTCACACGATACTCACGAACAGTATACCTACATTTCCTACATCACATTTCCAATTATACCGCACTCAGTATGCTATGACATATTCCCCATCTATTTTGATACATACTTATCTATGTTACTGTTATTCCACGCTGAACTGAACTGCAAAATAGAATAAAGCAAGGGAAGAGGGAAATGAACAGTAAAAAAAGAAACATATGTATAGAGAATATATAAGATATATATATATAGATAGATATAGATATAGATATATATAATATTGAGATAATAGATAGATATATATGAGAGATATGATGTATAATTCATATAGTATATAGACTGATAGAATATATATATATAATAGACAGAAAAAGATATATATATAATATAGCAGTATATATTACAATAGATATGTAGAAAAGAGAATATAAGATACATTATAGTATTAGAGAGATATCTGATATATAGAGAGATATAATAATTAGTA